TATTTCAGAAGAACCCATTGTGGGCAGTGGTAGCCTCTACACAGAGATGCCTTTTACAATGTGAATGCTTCCTAACCATTTGCAATATGCTTAAAATCGAAATCGACAGTCATGCCCTCACCAGGACGCCTTTATTCTATATTCTACGTTAGAAGATGTCATGACAGCAAACAATAAGGACGTGGATTACTTTTCATCGTTCTTCTCTGCTCACCTCCAGCTTGTGAGCTCTCATTTCTCTTTAATATTCAAGAATATTGTCTGATAAACTTCCAGAAAACCTGTTGCCAAAATGAAGGAATATATAGCTGTAAGTCAGTCAGTCATTTCCTAGGTGACAGTCTAATAAGAAAGAAACCCATTTTTGGATAATAGCCCAATTGGAACTAATTCTCCACTATCCCTCGTGGTTGGGAAATAACATGTCCAAATTAATCAAATGTTCTGGTGCCTTGTATAGGCTGATGTTTAGGGTAGGGATGGTGCTACATCTTACAGGATGACCAATTTGTAAAGAATTAGAAGTAATTAATTATAAAGCCAAGAGGAATATTATGTAATCTTTCATTGACTGAGCGTAGGATCTTGCAGGTACTTCTTAGTCAGGATTAGGAACAGCTGTTAATTTCCAGTGGCTATACAAATTGTTCAGATTAATAAGGTTCTGATTAATAGAATGCCAGAAAACAGAATTTATTACAGCACTCAAGCATTAATGCAGAACATAATAATCATACCTTTCCAAAGAAACCAACAGATCCTAAACTATTTTAATGGCTTAAATTAATCTTAAATTAAATACACTATACCTTTTGGGGGACCTTTGCCTTTCAAAAATAAGACAAAACACCCGAAAAGGGGAAGTTTGGATAAGGGAAGAAGAAAATGTGTTTTGATAATACATTGTCGGAAAATAAAATTTTTGTTATGCAGCGGCCATGTAGAAGTACAGTTTTCAAAAGGATAGAATTTATTTAAAAACTGAATTTTAATCACAGATTTCACTTAAAAAGTTTTGAAAGCTTTTAAATGCAATTGAGTTTCATTTTTTATTATCCTATACAACCATTCAGATTTTTAAAACAGATAGATTAGAAATAGATCAGATCTTTCAGTGTAAGAAAAGGCCAACAAGAAGAGGGTAGGGAATCCAGTACTTACTCTGGTGCCTTGTGGCCTGAAGGTCACTTGGAGTACCCTTGTTTGGGGGGGACCTAAACATTTTCCCCAGAAGGCCAAAACCTGAACTTGTTGGCCTAGGTTTTATCTTAAGATTTCTCTAAACACCCAACTCCCTTAGACTATTGAAAATAAGAATTGCCTTTCAAAAATTCTATTTTTGTAACTTTGAGCCAAATACCCATTGCATAAAATGAGGCACAATTGTATATTATATCATCTGTCTTCCCAGATCTTCACTTAAAAAATTTGATTAAGGAAATTATATACTTTGAAGATAAGGTTGCCATTCATCTCTTCCTGAGGTTTTAGTTTCAGAGTGTTAATTTTGCCTCTGCCCTTTTTATCCCAATTTGTAATTCAGAGTTTCCAGAAATGGAAACGTTTAAGATAGTCAGTCTACTCTCAATGCAGAAAGACCTTGAGAAAAGACGTCTTTGTTGATGTCACCATTCCACAAACATTCTGTTCTGGTGAAGTTGTCCTATAGTGTCAATAACCTGCCCTAACTTGTGTCACTTGGTGATTTCTATTAAGTTTAGCTAAAACTATAAGTTATCATTCTCCAAGTGATTGCCATTCATAAAGGAAAAATATTTAATTTTCCTTTTTTCCTTATAAGAAAGTAATTCTCTCATAGATAAAAATTGTTTAATATGTAAGAAACATTTAGAATATTTTTCAAATATTCCAAGTAACATAGCATCCTTAGAGGTGATTTTTTCTGAACTATGGTTTAGATCCAAAGACCTATGTCTTCCCTAATAAAATAAATTTTTGCTCATGGGAACCATATGTTTTTAAAATACACAGATCATTCTTGCTAGAAAGGCCTTGGACAGCGTGCTGGTACTCAGTGCTTGGATGGGAATTTGAAATATTTTCAAAGCATCAACTTCGCTTTTTTCTGCTTAATCTCCCAAGTACTTGTAATCTGGTATCCAGTCGTAACAAAATTGTCTCTCTTGAATGTCACCTATTAAAAATGAATCCATCGTTAACTAGATTCGTGACCTTGGGTAGTTGTAGTATTGACTTCTATAAGCTATATTTTAGGGTATACTGTCTAGGTGTTACAATTCATTTATTTTTTCATTTTCCCATTCAAAAGAATTTTAGTGCCAGATGTCTGCAAGGCACTGTCTTAGGTGCTGTGAATATGATGACTGAGCAAAGATTCTTTCCTCAGAAAGCTTATAGTCTGTTAGCTGAGATAATACTTGTAAATAAATATAATGAATGTAAAAAGCCACAAGGACTCCAAGATAGGTACAGTCAACAGCTATGGGAGGTCAGAGAAGGGCAATATTGTAGGTCAAGAAGAATTTGAGGTGGCTTGTTTTGTGGAGGAGGTTGCATATGACTTTAATGTTGAAAGATATTGAGGAGTGGAATATTTAGGGTATTTGCCAATATTTGCCAATAGTGGCAAATACTCCAGGCAGAAGAGAAAAGAGTGAGATCCAAACACTTGGTGCATGAACAGGGAGTCAACCCAAGTGATGTGTAGTTCAACCCAAGTGAAGTAGACAGTATAATGGGGAGGGAGGCTGGAAAGTAAGTGGGGGCTGGATCATGGAGCCTTTGAGTACCTGACTAAGATGTCTGAGTGCTCTTCAGTACCGGTGCGGAGCCAGCAGAAGGTTTTGAGCGTGATGGTCTGGGCGGTAATCTGTGATCTGGAGTAGCATGAGGACGAACTGAGGGCAGAGAGAAGTTAGGGTTCCTTTGAGACATAATGAAGGCTTTTAAAGTAGGGAAGTGTCAATGAAACCTACCTAGACGGAGATATTGCCCAGGTAGATGAGAGAAGCATGGCAACCTTTGGGATGTGGGGCAAAGAAAAGAAAGGAATCGAATATGACCCAAAGTTTTGAAATATCTTTCTGTAAAATAACAAGGAACTCTAAATCAGAGTTCCCCCAGGCAGTCTTCCTACTTGTCAGCCAGCTTGGTCTCTGTCTCCTCCAGACCTGCCTTTTAGAGCCATGTTCCTGTTTAATGATGGGAAAGTAGGTGTCCACTTCTGGCTTGTTCAATAAGTAGCAGTGAGGCAAGAATTACACAGCAACTCTTCTTGCCAGTTTCAGGAATTGTGTGGTCCTGAAAGTCACTCTAATTGGTTGTGCCATCAGAGTCTTCTTAAGTTACATGCCTTGGAAACAATAAGCTTCCTTGATTCATAGCTCCTGTCTCCTTTGCAACTTCAATGTGATCACGTTCTCCATCCCTGTCACTGATCTCCTTGTACCTCCACAAACACACCAAGCATCTTTCAAAACTTGGGGCCTTAGCACATGCTGTTGCCTGGAACATCTTTCCCATCGATTTCATATGTCTAAGGCCTTGTCTATTTTTGGCTTTAGCTTAAATGTCACCCCCTCAAGAGGCCTTACCTGACCACCTTCTCTAAAGAAGGTCCCACCCTTTATTCTCTGAGCCTTTTATTTCTCTCCTACCTAGTACCTATTACAACTAACAACTATTTTATTTGTATGCTTACTCATTTATTTTTTTTTTTTTTTGCCTCTTGTCCTGATAAAACAAGCTCCATGATAACATAAAGCATGTCTCTTTTCTTGATTGCTGTATCCCTAAGACCAAGAACGGTGCCTGGCACTCCATAGGAGATACTCAATAAGTAGTTGTTGACTTAATGAGTGAATGAGTTAATTAGTGAATTAATAAATGAACACACCTATTCAGAAAGTTCTTTATGACCTAAAACTATCATTATTTACCCGTATATATAATTCAATTAAATAGAGAGGGGCAACAATAACCACTTACCTTCTTTAATCTTCAAAGTAATATATTCTTATAAAAAGTGTTCATAAGATTCCCACAGTGATATTTGGGAAATAGAATATAAGTATTCTCCTTAAATTCCTTAATTTCCATACAAGCTCTGTGGAAACACACTGTGGTGCTGTGTTTTTCAGCTGTTTAAAAAATGAAATAAAACAGAGAATAGAATAGAAAATATCAGGGTGCAGTGCATGTGGTAAGTAGTTTTGAGAAACTTTTCAGTATGTGTGTGTGTAGGGGTCACAACATGAAATTATTTTTTGCTATAACTTAAGTCAATATGCACTCTAGTATCTTCCACGTTATCCTAATCCCCTTATCTGTCTGCTGTCATAGCTCTTCAAAGCCAGTATTGGATTGTCATTCTGCAGTGTTCTGATTTCTTATTTGCAATGGAAGCCCTCCCACAACCACACACCAAAATTCAATTTTTTTAGTATTTTCTTATAGATCAACATACCTTCACCTCTCTCAGAAAGTTCGGGCTCGCTGTAAAAAGAGCATTCCCAGAGCTCCTTTCTCTGTGGAGTGCTGGGCTGCTTTTTAAAAAAAAACAGGGTAGGGGCCGGCCCTGTGGCTTAGCGGTTAAGTGTGTGCGCTCTGCTACTGGCGGCCCGGGTTCGGATCCCGGGCGTGCACCGACGCACTGCTTCTCCGACCATGCTGAGGCCGCATCCCACATACAGCAACTAGAAGGATATGCAACTGTGATGTACAACTATCTACTGGGGCTTTGGGGAGAAAAAGGGAAAAGAAAAAGGAGGAGGAGGATTGGCAATAGATGTTAGCTCAGAGCCTGTCTTCCTCAGCAAAAAGAGGAGGATTAGCACGGATGTTAGCTCAGGGCTGATCTTCCTCACACACAAAAAAAAAAAACAGGGTAGGACAGCGATGGGATTTGCTGTTCTTTAAAGCAAGAATTTGAAACAGTGATTTGACACAGTAGCATTTCTTGCTGAAATAAAATTTATGTTCATTCCTTTTTTTTCTTTTTTCTTTTCTCTCTCTCTAAGCTGCCTGCCTTGTGCTTGGCTGTATGATTTTCCCTGATGGCTGGGATTCAGATGAAGTTAAACGGATGTGTGGAGAAAAGACAGACAAGTACACTCTCGGGGCTTGTTCAGTCCGCTGGGCGTACATCCTGGCTATTATTGGGATTTTGGATGCCCTGATCCTCTCGTTTCTGGCATTTGTGCTTGGTAACCGGCAAGACAGCTTGATGGCAGAGGAACTCAAGGCAGAAAACAAAGGTAAGATTGCTTTGAGGACCTCTCACCTGGACGCCTCGAGCCCGGAAAATGATGCTTTCTGTTCTTTCCCATCAAGGACCAGTGCTTCCCCTGTGGATCTAATTTGCTGCATCTTTTGATGCTGTCTAGTTCATAGACTTTCCCCTGGATTCAACTCAAGAAGTTTACACAGTTAAAATATAGTATTTTCACACACAGCTTTCTGAGGTTGAGTCTATCATTATTATTTAAATACGTTTCTCCTAGTTTCTTTTTCCCTCCCCCTAAGTTAGTGGAGATGATACTTTTTTTTTTTTTCTCACCTACTTGGTTAAATGGAGAGTGTATCCTCTCCATGTACTATTCAGCTCTTTTCCAGGTTGAAATAAATACCTGGGGAATCTCACAAAATCATCTACAAAAGTCTTTATTAAACTGTTCACAATCGTTTTATTTGAATTCAGACTCATCCTCTCAGAGACAGGTAGTGATACTGGCCCTAGTTACACTTAGAGATGTCAACAGTTACCTAATTAGCAGAATTTTAAATGTGTTATCTGGGTAATCAAAAGTCCTCAGATTTCTTTTCAAAAAGAAACGCCTTCTGAAACAGAGAAACTAGGATTGAAAATAGGACATTGACCAATGAATGATACATAAATAATATAGTGTGCCAATAAGAAGTAGCAAGTCATTATTCAAGATGAATCTTTTAATTTTCTTTCCAGATTTCTAAACCAATTTCTTGGGATAGAATTTTACTGTCTCTGTTTTGTTATAGACTTGGATTCATTTAACCGTTTTATCTTTATGTTATCTTTAATACTTTGGACTTAATACCTTCAACTGAGTGGCTGCTGCTTCCAGCTTTTACTCCTAACTGGGCACTAAATCCATCCTTGAATTATGAAATTTAGCTTATTATTTCAAGTAGTTGCTAACTTCAAAAACTCTTCGCTGCTTCAACAGGCCTCAATATAAGTATATATTGTATCTACGTGAATGCCACATGTAACGTTAGTGTAGCAAGCTTTGTTTAGACCATTACTGTTCGTGGTTGTAAATCATGAACTACAAAGAGAGAAAATTGAGAAGTCAGGGGAGCAGCAGTCATCCACAAACCCTTTATCTCCCTGATTTATAGATGAACTCATGTTAGTTTACTTGACTCTGTCAAAAATATTCTAAACACAAAAGTAATCCTTTCACAGGGGAGTAGTGCAGACACTTCCTAAAAACACAATCACTTCCCTCTCAGAATTGTCTTTTCTAGATAAAAAGGATGACCTCTTTATAAAGCAGGTTACGGATTTAAAGTGCTTGCACATGCACTCATTAATTTGCAACCCTTGTCTGTCGTCCTTGTGACCTATTGGATGGACACAGGTCTCTGTCCAGTTAACTTCACTTCAAAGTTAAGGATAGCTTAATGTTAGAATAAGTGACCTTTCCCTAAAGAAAGAATTAAAGAAAACACCACTTTGTTCTGCAAATGCTTGATTTCCACCACTACCTGCTAATGGACCAGAATGCTATTTATTCACTGTACAATCCAAAGTTATATTGAGAACCTTTAACTTTCCAGCCATCCTTTGACTACAAATAAGGAGAAGAAAATTCAGAAAAAGAAAAAATAACAAAGCCAGGAAGATTTTCACTTGGCAATTGAGAATTCTAACTCCTATCCACATATACGAGTGATAACAATTCTGGATTCATGCTTCGGAAATGAACACTAGGATTATAGAATAACACTTAACAGTTTTCAAAATGGGTCTTTTCTTCTGGTTGACTCAGTTAAATGTTGATGTCTGATCTTTTCCATCTAGGTTTTCATTAAAGAAAGCATCATTTTCCTCAATGATATATTGGAAACACTTGGGTAAAATGTTGACGGGAAAGTTAAAAGAGGCCAATATAAGGTGTAGGGACCATCTGTGTGTGATTTTTGTGTTCATTATCTCTATTTGCATGTATCACATTTGCATGTATCCATACTTTCTTCCATCTGGTTCTGAAGGACTAAAATCAGTAGCAGCAGTTTGTCTGTATCAAATCAGATCCAATAAAGTAGGAAAGAGCATCAGACAATATTGACAGAACATTTCAATTGTGCCACATTTTTATTTCACAGTTGAAATTCCTTTATCTGGAACTCTGAGAAGATATCAACGCCTCTACTATGCAGGCATTTCAGACCGTCATACAATAGGGTCTGAATAAAATCAAACCAGGATTTCTAAGCCTTGTAGAAAATGTAATCAAACCTGCACAATTCTGAGGAAGGGTACAAGATTTATGGTTGCTATACAAAGTAGCTTTTATTGTTTGGTATTATTTAAACACTTCTTCCAACGTTAGATTGTTTGGGGGAAGACCAATCAGTGATTTTGTATGAACATAGTTTCACTGAACAGTAGTTTAATGGCTTTCAAGTACATGCAATAACCAAACTAAATACCGTCAATGTTACCTTCTATAGATCCTAAGGGAAGAGAGATCTGATAAGATAATAATTTGTAAATATGAAATTGATTATATATCAATGGGTGCTTTTACAATTTGCACAGATAAATTAATATAACTTTTCACTTATTAAAATACCTTTTTTACTGTTAATTTTTTTTCTGGTAAAACTACAAAGATGACCCTTGGTAGCCAAGGCCTCCTTTGGGTTCCAGGGCAATGCAATGAGGCAGAGGCCAATCTAGCTCATGGAACTTTAAAAGAATTTATTAACTCCATGATGCTTTCTGGTATTATGGAAGCAGACAATACCATATCTCAAGCCTTGGCTCAAAAGAGTAAAACATTCATACATTCTGATTTATATCACTATACATACTGTAATATCTTTTACAATCTTTTCCTGGTTTTATAGTCTGTCGATCATCCTAACAACCTACATCCTATAATAAGTAGCAGAAGCATCATGGAGAGAATAAACCTGCAAACATAGCATGTGCCCCCAATTTGAAGAAGTTTCTCCTGAGCGGTTTCATGTCACGACCGTATCTTCTTTTTGTGGCTTTTGTAATTAACCTAGCAACACATTTCCCCATTTATCTGGAAAAGCCACCAAATGGGTTCAGGTTTTCCATGTATCATTACAGTAAGGACATTGCTTAGATCCATGAGTCCTTCCCAACAAGGACCCCAATGGATGAAATAAGAATCACTGTTACGTGAATTCTGGAATGTATCAAAGAAGGGAAGGGAACTCAGTTCTAATTGTTGAACTAGACTTCACTCACGAGTCTTAAGATGAAAGGGAATATAGGATGCTACTGAGTCATAAATTAACCATCACAAAGGTGCTGTTCAGAGGGAAAGCAAGAGAGAGGTACTCTGCACCTCTACGAACCACTGCCTTTTAAGGTAAATTTCCAGTGGACTCACCCTAATCCCATTTCAGTGTCCCCCCTTCAGCACCGCCCAAGACATTTCTTAAGCCCCTCCTTTTCCAAGACTGCAAAGATAATTTGAAAGAGGTCTAAGCTGAAATTTCTCATAAATTATGAAATGGAAAAATTGGAATAAAGGAGTTTTAACACAGTTTCAACAAACGGGACAACAACATTGAAGATGCAAGTGTTGTCTTACAGGGAATTTCTGTGAGAGATAAAGTTAATCATCTGTGGAACTCCATCAAAGTCCCAGAATGTTTCTTCATGACAAAAAAAAAAAAAAAGAAAAGCCCCGCTGAGAAAGAGAAGTGAAACTTTTCAAATATCCAACTAACTTTTTACAGGAGGTGGCACGTGCAGGAAAACTTAATTGTCTACTCTGAATTTGGGGAGCCAGCCCTGCAGGCTATGTGCCGTCCCTGGCTGTGGGGATAATAGCAGAGAGGCAGGTGTTCTTGTTTGGGAGTTCAGCAGCATGATTTCTAAATGAGCCAACAACAGTAGGCATTTAACCTTGATATGCTGCTTAATTGCATATTTTAACACACTGAACTGTGAAGTCAATTTAATTATGTAAAATTAAAGTTTCATCCAGATAAAAAGAATTTTAAATGAAAGCTTCATTTTCAATTTCTTTCATTAATTGTGAAAGGATAAATAATTACATTTTCCAGAGCTCCTGTGCCACAAATCTCTCTTTCCTTGTCAGACACCATTCATAAAGAGGTCTGTTTCTTCATTTGTGTGTATGGGCTTTGGAATTTCTTATCAGATAATTGGGTCCTCTCATGAGCGGTTTTAAAGTCACTTTGTCTTCTAGCCCTTAAACTGCAAATGAGAAAACATGATCATCCATCAAGAGGTGACGCCAGCTACCATTTATTTATTAAGTGGTTTAAGCTCTTTTTAATGCTGTAATAGGCGGAGTTAGAATAAATCCATTTTACTTAAATAAGTCACTGAGAAACGCTTCGGGATTTTGATTTAAGGGACCAAGCGGTGGCACAGCCACACTGTGAGCAGCAACAAGGTGTAGAGGAAAGAGCATGCCTTGCCCAGAGCTAGAGCGACAAGACCCGAGGAGCCTTGCACCCATATCTTAATAGTTCCAGAATTAAGCTTCCTCATCTGTAGAATGCAGGCTTGTCTAAATAGCATCTGAGGTTTCTTCCAGCCCTAAAATATTCTGATTTGGGGGACCCCTTCAGAGGTGTCCTTTAAAGATGCTCTGAGGGCGGTAAGAGCTCCTGCACTCATAGCAGTGAACACTAGGCTCTTTTAGGGCCTTGTTAGCAGTGCAAGGGTGACTAGGAGAAGGGAAAGGTGAAGGTCAAGGGGAAGGGGCTCTAGGATGCCAAGGGTGTTTCTCCCTGCACCATATACCTACCCACTGAACTGCGCTGTCACAGCCCTACTCATTCAGCACCAAGAGCAGAATGAGTCAGATTCAGAAACTCTGGCCCGCGGCAGAGGAGCCTCCTTGCACTGGATTCCCAGACTATGTGGTGTCCGTGTGGCCACCTTGACAGTGGACAGAGCTCCAGATCACAGACAAAAACTTTGTTTCTGGTCTCAATTAGGGCACATATTCATCACGTGACAATGGGCAAGTCT